GAACCTTCCTACTTACCATCTATAATAACAATAGCACACCTACATTTGTTTAATTGTATCAGCTGCACAAATGCCATTGACTCCAATGTGCCTGAACTAATACTTCTCAATCACACTATAACGTGCATGTGGATTACCTGGGGATTTTGTTAAAAATGTAGACTCTCGTTTAGCAGGTCTTTGAGTGGCCTAAATACTAACCAGCCCCCAGGAGGTGTGGTGCTTGGTCCATGGACTATATTTTCAGTAGCAAATTTTCAACCAACTGCAAAATCTGAAAAAAAGTTTTAAATTTGCTAATATTATATTTCCATGTGCTCGTAAAGAACAGGAGCTATCCAATGTCCTAGTTAGTTCACTTATATATTTACTTTTGATGGCTAGATTCTTTGGTAGTTTATTGTTTTTTGCAGTTTTTCTTGTGGTTCATAGTAGATACCTCAGTCTGTTCTGCGTGCAATTGTATACCAATAGGCTGCCAAGAAAAAAAGAGAGTGAGAAAGATAATATTGAATGAAACTACAATCTGATAAATGAGTCCTCTCTCTCATAATTTGTAGAACTGGCAAAAAATTGGAAGCAAGGACATCAGAGATAAAGAAAATCACATCGAACACCTTATTCTTTTTAGTAAAGCAGAGTGCTTTAAGAGTAATCCTGTTAAATGGTATACATGTATAGTAAATATCTAAATCAATAAGTGAATATAATAAAATAAAAAGAGGAAGAGGTGTCGGAATTATCACTGACTATAGTTACACTTTTACTTAAGTAATAATTCCTTTCTGGGAAGTGTTATTGTCGACTCCCTCAAAGGCAGGCATTGTTCCTCTCAGATTTCACTCTGGCCACGAAGGGAAGCAGACAAAACTTATCTTTGCAACCTCCCTTTCTCCCTTGCCTCTTCTTGGCAAAAGTCACTGCTGGCTAGGGCTCCTGATGATGCTCTTGGCCAGTAAAGAACACTGGACAAAAACTCCCAATTTAGACACACACCACCATCACCACCACCACCACCATCCTCATTATGAACAACTAAGTTAATGGATAAGATTCGCTTTATTTTAATCCTCCTACACTGGGCATCCCACCCCAGTATATTTTTCTTAAAACTTTGATATCTGTTAAACTTGCCAGGAGATAATAACATGAGCAGGGAAATAGAAATCAGCAGTAATGGAAAAATGTTGAGAAGTGGAGTATCTAAACGATAATGGTAACTAATATTTAATGAGCTTATGTTGTGTGAGGTAAGTAGTATTCTAAGACTTCACACAGATAAATTCATGCTGGCCTTGTAGCACTTTGATGAGCCAAGATGCTGTTATTACCTCAGCGAGTAAGATGTGCATGTTTAACAGTGTGCATGTGTGTTTTGTGGATGTAAGCTGTAGATGAGATTTTATTTATACACACGAGGTCTGACAATCAAGTTTGCAAACTTTTCGCTAACCTTTTTTGATATCAGAAGGGTTATTCATTATAAATTTGTACAAACAGTTAACCAATTTTACTATTAGAAAGTGCTGAAAAGGCTGTGCGAAAAGTTAGACGACCTGGACTTTTCGCCAACTCATGGCTCTTGCATCACGACAATGCACCAGTTCACACAGCACTGTCTGTGAGGGAGTTTTTAGCCAGTAAACAAATAACTGTATTGGAACACCCTCCTTACTCACCTGATAAGGCCCCCAATGACTTCTTTCTTTACCTGAAGATAAAGGAAATATTGAAAGAAGACATTTTGATGACATTCAGGACATCAAGGGTAATATGACGACAGCTCTGATGGCCATTCCAGAAAGAGTTCCAAAATTGCTTTGAAGGGTGATTAGGCGCTGGCATCAGAGCATAGCTTCCCAAGGGGAGTACTTCGAATGTGGCTGTAGTGATATTCAGCGATGAGGTATGTAGCACTTTTTCTAGGATGAGTTCGTGAACTTAATTGTCGGACCTTATATAGTTATATGTTTTAGTCTTTAAAATCATTCCTGGTTAATATGCTAGAACTGCACTATCCAATATGGTAGCCACTAGCCACATGTGGCAGCTGAGCATTTCATATACGGGTTGTTGGAAACGAGATGTGCTATAAGTGCAAAATACACACAATATTTTGAAGACAATGTAAAGAAATAAAATGTAAAATATCTCTTTAATATTTTAGAATATTTAAATATTATATGTGGTATATCATGAGTTAAATAAAATAGATTAGTAATATATTACTAAAATAAATTATTAGTAATATAGTGACGTATTACTGTTGATTTTACCTGCTTTTCCTTTTTTTAATGTGGCTGCTAGAACCTTTTAAATTACCTATGTGGCTGGCTTCATGTTTCTATAGAACAGTGCCATCCTAGAAGTACATGGCCCACAGTCTGCTGCCAACTGAATAAGATTGAGAACCTACACTTGGTTTGGTGTAGTGGCCATAGACAGACAGGACTTACCTTTCCCAGTTCTGTTTCTATCTTAAGACCTGTGTCTTCCTCTAAACCGGTGGTATTCAGGCCTAATTTCACAGTAGAAACACCTTGGACATTTTAGTAAACATGGGAGCCTGGTGCCCAGCTGCAGAGATTTTGATGGCCTTGGCATCAGGACCTTTAAAAGTCCGCAGGTGATTTGAAGAAGTGGCCAACACTGAGAACCAGATCCAAATAAGAACAGTGTACTCAGTCCTCATGATGGATGGGTGAGTGGACAGTTTGCAGTGGGGTCTGGCTCAAGTTTTGAGTCTGGCTGAAACTAGAGAACCAAGTTGTGAAAAGGACGTGGCAAGTCAGAGCCTGCCTTTGAGCAAAGAGCCTTGTAATAACTCTCATTTAAAGCTACTGTGTGAGGGAAAATCCGCCCTCCAGAGTCAAGGGGGAGAAATTGCAGAAAGGAAGAAATGGAGCTAAATGAGGGGAAAAGGGACACCCCCGTTAATGTGAGGTGCTATTTTTTCCAGGAAACCAAGGGCTGGTTACAGAGATACAGGCCCTCCTGTCTCCTCCACCACTGCAAGGGCTGAGAGAGGCAGGCCCAGAGGAAAACCACAGCCTTGGGCTGAATTTGGTCTTGGCCACCCCAGGTCTGTGAGCTCTGGGCCACCTTCCCACCTCCAGGTTGAGCAGCAAGAGAGCTGGCTGCAGTTCTCATGTGTTTAATCAAAGGAAATATTCAGATTCATTTTATACAATGATATTCTAAATGTCTATTATGTAGAGAGCCTCAGAATTCAGGCAAATTCCACTTTGGAATGTTAGAGTTTATTGGAATCAAGATAAGAAGCTGCTCCCGATTCTCCAACTGCCATAACTTCAATCAAAGCTTCCTCACAGAGATTTTCCTATGGTGCTGGGGTCTCCGGGCAAAACGTGGTTACCACTTTATTAAAACTATTGGCCCAGACTTCTCTGAATAATTTTAACATCCCATCCCTTTCCTGGCAAAGTTAGTGGGAAAAGTTTGTGCCAACTGCCATCCATCTTTTGATGTTGGGTAAAAATAGATCTTTCTCTTCTCTGAGACAAACACTATTTTCTTTCTCCCTCCCTTCATCTCGTCTTTTCTGATCATCTGTTTTTGGCTCTGCAATGTTACACGAATTTTTTCATATTTCCAACTTGATCAGGATTAACTAAATGACCAACACTTTTGGTCTCAAATTCATCATCATTAAACATACTCTGAAAAATAATGATTTTTAAGATTTTACTATCAGATACTGCCAGGTGATTAAAATACCTGTGTCCCATGTACTATATATACCATTTCTCTCAGACTTTAAGGGAGTGCCCAGGCAGTGCTATTAATAATCAGAGTGCTCTCTCTTAAAGTCTCTTAAAGTAGCTGAAGGTAAGAGCTGCCCAATGCAGCCACATTTATGAATGAAAGCATTCATGGTTGGGCTTCCTGCCTTTTGTGTTTTCTTACAGATCTCAAGTTGTAACTTTCACATGATATAAACTACTTTAACAGTTTCTATTTCTATTCTGTGTCCCTGGGGGGAATAGTTGGCAGTGCATACAATATTAAAAAAAAAATCCTTTCCTCTGGTCGGCATTTAGCTTTTATAACATATTTTTAGATCCGGAAATACATTTTCCCCTCCCTCCACTATATGTATATTTTTACTCTCTCTTATTCCTTCCAAACTGAACCAAAATCTGTTTCCTGATAATTTGAGAACTGAGAAATGTCTGCTTGGGGGAAAAAAGTGAAGACACATGTTATGTTGTAAACTTAGCAGGGAAACATTGCCCAATGACAAAACCAGGGGCTATCTTGTGATGTTTTCTTCTGCTCACACTATTTCTATTTTGATCTGACAGTCGTCTCGCTGAAGGTTGCTGAGGCTGTCTCCCCTTGAGACCCGCTTTAAATCAGCACAGGGCTGATTTCTGAGGACAAGGAGGGCATGATGACCTTAATCTGGAGAGTGGAGATGACAGCCATGTGGATTGGTTGTGATTTTTAATGCATTGTAAATATAAAAAGCAGGTGGTCTGTTCAGCTGTCTTTCTGATATCGCAGGATCCATCCTACTGATTAGTTAGAAAGTTCGTTCAGACAATGGGGCTTATCAAGCGTTTGTTATCTGCCAGGCACAGCTTCTACCACCAGGAATGTGGGCGCAGAGAAGATCTAGCTTCTGCCCTGCTGATTTTGAAAGAGCACTGAACTCTCAGCCAGGGCAACTTCTGAGGTTGTATAAGAATGGGGCAGGTTGTCTGCAGGGCCCTTCTGACGAGCTGTAATTTTCTCTAGGTTCAACTGAGCCAAGTACTGTCCTAGGTAACACTGGAAATCGTTTCATGTTAGAACACTAGCTTTTCCTTTAGCTCCTTGATTTTTGCTTCCTATCACTACATGAACTGCTGAAAAAATGTAAACTTTTCCGTTTCCTCTCTACAGATTAACCACAAAACTGGCTTGGATTTCAGATTTACATCACATTGTGTGGTGCACAATTATATTCTGCTTCTCAAAGAAAAAAGACAGCTGAAGACTATTTCAAAAATTATTTTCACACACAATTATCGTACAGCATTACAATGTATTATGTGCAAAATTCCATTTAAAAATCATTTACAAAAGGAAGTACAACACGGTATGTGCTGAGGGTTCTAGATGGATCACAAAAGTTAACAAAGGAACAAGGTACAAAGCCAACCAAATCAGATGACTAGGCATCTTTACACAGTACAATAACATGTTTTTGTAACTACCTGTGTTACATTGATACAAGATCCTCACACTTTGTGCACTCCCAAACAGGTTTCACAAAACATAAATTTAACTTCACCAAACATTCTTATAATGCAGATGGACTTTTTGGTGCAAACTTTTTGCCAAACAGCATCTTATTTAACTCAGGGAAAGTCATATTACATATTACTTAATTTCTGCCCCAAATAATTTGATGCTGTTGGTTTTGACTTACGTGGGAAAGGAAAATAAAAGTTTCATCCTTATTTTTTTTTCTTTGTTTTTTTCAAAATTGTTTCCAAAAGCAAATAACATGGGGTAGATTTTGCCAAATCTCATTGCATATTTACAGTATTCTTAGCATAGATGGTTTCTTCCATCTCCTTTTCCCACTTCCTTGGAGGAGCCTGAACCAGCAGACTACACTCCTTAGTTCTTCGTTAGAGTCTGTATTTCTCTCTCGACCTCTCTCTACATTCATTTCTTTCCTGGTCCTCAGCATCACTTGGTTAAAACACATAACAGCACAATACAACTGAGCGTCAACAAGGTAACAGTACATCAGATTTTCAAAGGCATTCTGTGGCCAGTGTCAGTAATACATCAATTTAAGAAATCCAGCAGTCTCTCCTCACAAAGTTGCTGAAACATCCAGTTACAGAAGAGAGACTTTTAAAATGCAATACTCTCAAATCCAGCAAGAGATTTCTTTATGAATATTAAATGTTAAAATCACATGCATAATTATAGAATATTTTAAAGTTACAAAAATATTTTAAAAACCAATCCTGACAGTTTACCTGCAACTGCTATAAAAATTTCTATGAAATATACAAAAACAAAGGCTCTTTATAAAAAAAAAAAAAAAGAAAGGAAGATAAGAAAAGGGAAAGGAAGAAAAGGGAAAAGAAAGGAATGAAAGGATGGAGCCATCCACAGAACTGAGAAGTACCTGACGCACTGCATCGGCCAGTCTTGTCAAACGCCTGCTGTTGAATTCAATAGAAGAGCTTGTGCCTTAGATGTTTATTTGGTACATGTACATACATGTGAGCCCACCTAGAACCTGGCTGCGATAGGTAGCAAGCATTCTCGGACACTTGAACCATCAAATGCAATTCTCCATCTCTGAAGGAGAATCCTACTGTTTCACGAACCTCAGGGCAATGTGGCTAAAGATGCCCTCGGCCAAGTTGGCCTGTGGATGGCTTAGTCACTGAACTGAGGGGTCCCCAAGGAGGTGACTGCCTTTCAAGCACAAGCACATGGAAGCCACAAGGCAAGTTCCTAACCCCCCTTTGAAGGCACCACTTCACAGTCCTGTGTGTCTCTACGAGGTGGTGAGATCTTCTTCCCCATTCTGGAAAATGATGCCGTAAGGATCATTCTTGATGCGCTTGTAGACAAAGTGGAAGATGTGGGGTTGTGGCCGGCTGTGCAACTCAGCTTTGATTTTTTGAGGGTAAGTGTCCTCTGCCAACTGCTGCCACGTTTCATCAACAAAGAGGAAGAGACTGTACTCCTCAGGGTCCCCCACCTTAAACTTCTCCGCACAGAGCTGACACACATCCTCGGTGGTGACATAAGGTCTCACAAGGAGGGTCTTCCCCGTGCAGCCACTGTTGACCTCCTGGAATGCAACTCGGAGGTAATTCTGCAGGTGGAAAGAGAGATGCCAGGAACAAAGTGAGAAAAGCCAGCGAGATGGAGCACTAGATGAGCAGGGTGAGAGGTACGAGAGGTCGCCCTCCAAAGTTCTGGCTTGTCAGGATGTCTCATGTCGGGACACAAGGCCTTCAAGTGCAAGGAAACAGGCTGATTGGAATTTGGGCAGTGGAGAGAGCAACCACATGTGCTGAGGGGCTGTATTTTAATTCACTGCAAATATAAGGAGCAGAAGTCCATTCATCCCTATTCTGATTTTTTTCGTGTCCATCATAAACCCTGGTTAAGAAATCCTGGTGAAGTGTGTGAACCAAAACTGATGCTCACTTTATTTTCAGCTTGAAAAACAAACCAAATAGATAAGAGCTTGAACCAAGAGTCAGCAGATAGAGACATTTAAAATATGTAGACACAAGAGCAAACATTGTACTCACTCTGGACTACTTTTCATGAAATGTAAGCAAGGGTAATAATGTTAGGTGGGACCACAAGATACTGCCAATATTTGACCACTTTTCACCAACTCTAATGGCAATTTCATTTGGTTCAACCTAATATAAGGCTCTAAGTAGCTCCAAGTGCAATGCAGAAAAAGTTGGCAGGGCAAAAATGTTGATTCTGCCCAAAGGCTTTGGAGATGGAGCTGATTAAGTGCAAAGTGGTGTTGAAAGGAAGTAAAAGGATGATGTCTGCAGGCTTGGCACTATCAGCCGCGCCAGGTATATGCCATCAGGAAATACAGTAAGCCTGTGATTTCACAAACCAAGCCCAGAGGAGGTAAAAAGAATCCTACACTCATCCCAGGCTCTTGGAGATTCTGTGACCCCAGATAACTTCTTCAGTTTTCTCTTCCTTAAGAGCGTGGTTACCAGATAAAATAGAGAACACCCAGTTAAATTTGATTTTCTTACATAAAACAAATACATTCTTCTTTTCTAAATCTGGCAACTCTACTCAGGGGTGAAGAGAAGTGGTGCTCTCTATCCAGGGTCCCACATGGTCACCATGAAAGTTTACTGAAATGATGGAAGGGAACGCTCCATCAAAGAAAGGGAAAAACAGTGCACTCTTCACTGGGAAGGTAACTCTGACATGCTTGAATTAGAATGCCTTAGCGAACACATGCTCCATTTTACCAACGCCCCCTCTCCCATCCCAACTCCCCCTCTCATCCCAACCCGGCTCACACAATTGGTATGCATTTACTCATTGACTCCTGAAGAGAACTTTGTGAAAGAAGTCTACATTTTTTTTTTGCATTTGACGAGTGAAGAAACTGAGCACAGAGAGGCTAAGCAATTCACTCAAAGCCACATAGCTAGTGAGTTGGAGACCCAGCATTCAAGCATCTTCACCACTGTGGTGTGATGCCTTTCCAATGAGAGGAGATGTGTGTGAGCATCTGTGACCCTTGATTTAGGAGTTCCAAGTAGAATTTGTGTCTGAGTTTTTGTGTTTACAACCAAACTGAATGTTGACAATTCCCCTCTTGGGTTATATTCTAAGGTGTGTATCTCCTGGGTGAGGAAGGCCAAGTGGGTAGGGATATGAAGAAGGAAGGGACACTGGCATCTGGGGGTCTTTAGGCTAGAAGCTCCATATGGAGAGAGGAAACAGGACAAATGGGCTGGTGGCAAGTAGGGAGATGGACAATGAGTTTTCTCATTTCCTCTGTTCTTCACCTCAGAGAGTGTATAACCTTCGGAGTCCCCTCTTGGGACAGGCAATCATGGTATTCCAAGGGCCTGCGTATGCAAAATCACTTAACACATGGACAACTCTTCATCAGCCCAAGGGGGCAGGGGAGCACACAGTATGCGTTCTCGCTTTTTAGGTTGATGTACCTGAGGAGGAATTTCTGAGACTACTGCTATCTTAGAAAAGAACTTGTTAATTTTGCCTTTCCAAATGTACGTTAGAACCAAATGTACCTTTTGAGTATTTTCAGAGCACTGAGAGGCAGAAAAGGCAAGAAAGTTGAATCTGGACAAATCTGTACTGCTTGGAAATTCACCACATGGCACATAAAAACATAATGCAGTTCGGTTTTATAATTTGATTTGAAGCTTTCAAAATATTATTCAAAGGCATTTGCGGAGTTGCTCATAATTTCATAGACTATGAGCAAATCAGGGGTTGTTGTGTTGGGTAAAGATTTCCATATTCCTAATCTGCCTCTCCTCTGGAAGAAACCGCTCTTTGGGAATCCCACATTCCCAGGCACCAGCTTATGGTCATGGAAAATTCCTGAAGGGGATTCAGGCAGGACTTGGCTCGGAGGCTCACTCTTAAACCCTGGCCCTGACCAGCTGCCAGAGCTGATGTTGCTGATGAGATTCTGGGGTCTTCTGTTTCGGGAGGATAGTGAGAGAGAAGGGAAGGGGAGAAGGAAAGACATCACTGCGCCTCTCCCCGTTCTCAGAGACCAGGTCCACTGCAGTGCCTAACATTGCTGCTTCCACTCAGTCTCCTGATGAAATAAAACACCCACTGCCTGTGCCAAGAGCTTCCCCCTGACTTCCTCTCTGCTCAGGTGCTCAGCACCCATGCTGAATGTTCTGGGAGAAATCCCGCCTTAATTTGACTTTGTTTTCTTAAGGGCAGCAAAACTTGAGTCAAACTCACTTATATTTTTTTAATATAGGCAAAACAGAGAAGTGAAACAACAAAGTCAGAGGGTGGTTTAAAATATCTCTTCCGCCAGATGATTCAACAAAGGAGGGACCTCGGGTGCCCTGTGAGCCAGCTCTGCCTTCCTGGAGGACAAAGGAAGCAGCACGCCTCCCCGCCTCCCCCCCCACCCCACCCCCACACACACTCATCAACAATGCAGGCCACATACCTGAAAGTCATCCACTGAGGGGATGGTCCTGTTGGTGGTTCTCCGTTTGTGCCACTGCCTCAGGGTGTCTCTGGTCTCTGAGCTGAGCAGTCTCGCAGCTTGCTCTTCTTGGAAATTCTTTATCAGAGAAAGTGCCCCATAGGCGCTTGTCAAGTAATAACCTCCTAGAAAGGACAGAAAGAATGAGGGAGTCTTCAAGAGTTTCATACTCTGGTGATGAGTTAGGCGACAACAGAGTTAGAAGCTATTCTTTGTGTATTCTCCATTTCCTCCACATTTCCTGTGGGACCACTGAAGCACACGTCCAAGAACACATCCTTCAAGCCTCCATCTGTCCATTCATGCTTTCATCCCCATGGATGTCCTGGGTGTCCTGGGCCTGGGCCAGCACACCAGCAGGCCTGGCTGACAATGCCCTATTTTCACTGATAGGATTCCCATTCCAATGGGCGAGACATACAAAATCTCTAAATTATTTCAGTGCAATTGTGACAGTGTTTTGCCAGAAAAGCTCAGGCCTTTTTGTTGAGGCCTGACAGAGGTGGGGAGTCCTGTGAGGGTGGTGGGGTAGACTGTTCTGAGGCCAGAATCATTTACTTTAGCAATAGGAGTCCACATATCTCCTGGCAATATTTTCTTTGGAGCTGTTGTTTTAGGAATTAATCTTTTCTAAATGCTAAGTAAAGTATATGCTTTGAAAGAGTTGCACAATATACAAGTGTCTTCATGATAATATGGGTTCTTCAAAATAACTTCTCCCTCCCAATTCCCTTTCTTACCCTTATTTGGGGACTAATGTAACACATTTAGGAAAAAAAAATTACAAGGAAAAGCAAGTAATGTCCCTTTGATGGTGCATTTAGGAATGATTTCTTATGTCTGGGGGAGTGTTAAAAGACTACAACATCGTGAGATACATAGAAATGTGTTCATAGTTTTGTCCTAAACTGACCGAAATTTCGTGTCTTCCGGGGAGTTTGCAAGCACAGTGCTATAGAACCACTAGGTGGCGCCCAGAATGTTTATTAAAAATTCCCTAATTCGGGAAAAGCGCCGGTTCCCGGAAGAGGGGAAGTGGCAGAGTTAGGAAAGGGAGCAGCCGGGTGGACGGGTAGTGGGGCTGTGGGGCTGGCTACGACCCCAATTTGAGGAGGGCCAGGAACTGCTCTCCTTCCTCTCAGGGTCCCCAGCATCAGGAAGCCCTTAGGGTCGCTGCCGAGGCCGAAGGATCGCTGTCCCGAGTGGGGGCCGGCGGTGTTGGCTGGGCTGACCTGAAGCTTTGCGGGCTCGGTGGAGGAGGCCCAGCGAGCCAAGGCGGCCAGTGAGCGAATTCAGAGCAGAAGTGTATTTTTTTTTTCTCTCCACTGTTGGATATTATTACATTACAAATAAATACTATTTTTTTAAAAAAAAAATTCCCTAATTCGGCACAGCACATTTTAAATTAAGAGACATTCTTTGTCAAAATACCCATTGAATCTCTACCGTGAGCCCAAGACAGGTACAGAGCAGAGGGTGGGTTTGTAAGAAGTAGAACCAGAGTCCCCGCTCTACAGAAGTTTATAAATTTGTTAAAGAAAACGGACACTAGGGGGTTATTCATGCAGGGACCAGAAATTAGTTGTAGTTAAATGAGTTTTGTGCAGAAGTATCACTTTCATGGCCAAAGTCTTTAGCTGCTAATGAAAGGCTCTGAAGAACTCTCTCTGGTTGACAAGTGACAACATTCAAGATGGCAACTGGTCTACCACCTGAGACCTGAGCAGAGACCCCTGCGAATTAACTTAACATGTACCGGTAACTTAAGACATGTAACTTAAGAAAGTTACATGTCTTTTAATGTGGTTTTCAGGTCACTGTCAGAGATTTGTGGTTTTCAGGTCACTGACAGAGATTTGGGTTTTTTTTTTTTTTTATGGCAACGTCATCTAGGCCACTCTGAGCAATACACTTCCCATGCACACAGCACATGCCAGGCTTTTTGATTAGAGTTATGTGAATAGTTTAACAGCTCCACCAGCTGGGTGTAAGTTCCCTATGGCAGCCCCCACAAGTTAGTACAGAATTTTGAGCCACTGATTTGCCCCATGAACAGATCAGTATGTGACTGAGTGTGAAACTCAGTAGTACATTTAAATGCTACACAGGATTTCAGGAGAAATCAATATGAACTTAAGTATTCAAGAAAGAGGTGTCAGTATTAGAGCTGGGACTTAGATAGACTGTTACAATTGAGTTTGGGAGGGAGGGTGTTTCCTGTGGACATTAAATTTTAGACTCCATAGTTCTGATCTGTTCAGGCCACTAAGGAGGAAACTCAAAATGCTGGAAGCACAAAATAGACCACACTTTGAAACATGTGGATGCAATTATAGGAAGGTTTAAATTTCAGCAAAACTATAACCCTACCACAAGAGCTGTGCACTTAAAAGAGGTTCTATGATGCCTTTTCCATAATGAAATTACCTGCTTAAACAGCAGAAAAGAGATGTGGGCTGCTGCCCCACAAACCAAAGAGGGCCTTGGGAAAGCCACGTAGGGCTGAGTCGGTGATATAGCTTTCTGTTCTGCTGCTTCCTCCCTGTCTGCATAGCTTCAGCTCACTGAAGTACAGGCCTGATCTTTAACCACAGCCAACCTGACTGGGCTGCCCTGCTCTCCCAAGGAAGGCTACCAAGAAGCCCGAGACACAGTTAAGTGGAAGCAGGCTCTAGTTTAAGCAGGAGCTCAAAGGCTGCTCTCTACGTTCACTAGCTGAGTCTGTCTTTCTCTCAAGTGTGATTCCTGGAGGTGACGATAGCCACCTGCCCATCTGTCATCAACTCAGTGTCCAGGCAGTGTCTTGCTCTGGGGAAAGTCTGGTAAAGGTGGTAGGAAGTGGCTGTCTAGATCCTTGGGCCACAAGATGTAAACATATGTTTGTCCTAAGTACACACTGTCAGCAATGGAAGGGTAATATTCTGAGTGAAACTGACATGTCCTTTCTCTAAAGCACCAAGAATCTGGGGCATACTTATTACTAAAATTAAACATGATTGAAGCTCAAAAGAACCCTAGCCCAGATGCATACAAAATTATAAAAATGATGCATATGTAATAATGATGCAAAATGAAATAATGATGGCCTCGAGACTAATGTATGCTTCTCCTGGTCCCTGGACAAAAGCACATGCCTTTCCCCTCTCCTATCAAAGCCCAGGGCAGAGTCGGTGAGGAAAGTTCCAGGCAGGGCCTTGGTGGCTCATGTTGTAAATAATAATAATAATAATAATAATAATAATAATAATAATAATAATGGAGCTAAGCGGAGAAGAGGGGAAATGGATGGAAGGGGCTCATTCATATCTGTCTGAGGTGTGGGGACAGGATGAAAAGATCTCCAAAACTAATCCTGAGTCAGCATTAACCTTAGAGGGATGGCAAGTGAGGACCTCAGGGGCTACTGGGAGGACAGACCCTCTGAAAAGAAAGCCAAACACTGAGGACTTAGGGGATCAAGGGGCATGTTCTGGGGGTGATACTGCATTTAAGTTCCCTATAGGGAAAATCCCAATACGATGCATTCTCTGGGGAATCCTAGCAGCGGACTAAAACTCGGTGGAGAAAAGCAAAAAAGTCTATGCAAAAATTCAGCACTCAGGGTCTATCTGGGCTCTTACAGGGACACGTGAAAATGGATTAACAGGATTCAGAATGCACAGGCCCTGATTTGTTCTTTAAAAAGACAAGCTCACATAAGAGTCTCAGTTATTTCTGCTTTTCAAGACTCTGCACCATGGTGACAAACAACCAAATTATTTCCATGATAAAATACCTAACTGAAATGTAAAGAGAAAGAATTTCTGCTAAAACATGTTGGGGTCAGGCAGACACAAGAAGGAAACTAAACTGCCAAGATAAATTAAAAGCAAACAGCACAGCTTTTACTCCCTGTGTTTTTACAATGAGCAGACACTATTTTTTAAATAGAAAAAAAAAATCAATGCTGTTTTCATCTTGAAAACAAAAATTAAGAAAAAAAAAAAAAGATGGAAACAAAAGATAGGCCTTCATGTGTTTCACTGATATAACAGCAGGATATTCTTCTGACAGTGGAAATACTCTTGAACAAAAGTTTACAACTTCCTCTTGGAATCAAAGAAAGCATTTCTTTTAAAAATAGCATTTATTCTATTGAATGACATTTTCTATTGCAATTAACCAATCTCAGCAAAGTATAATTATGGCACGGTTACATTTTTTTGTGTGTGTGTTTTTTTTACTTTTCCAAATATTCTATGATGAATATTTATTATTTTTGAAGTCAGAAAAAATTCAGCACATTCTTTTAAATTAAAACTAGAATTATGGGCAGGCCAAGTGGCACGTTGGTTAAGAGCTGGCTTGGGACACCAGAGGGCCCTGGTTCGGATCCCACATATGAGGGCCAGTGACACTGCCCTCCACAGCTAAAATGCTGAACAACAGCTCGACCTGGAGCTGGGCTGCTGTGAGTCCCAGAAGACGGCATAGGCTGCAGCCCCTGCTGCAGTGGGTTGCCGTGGGCAACTGTGTGTAGCCAGCAGCCAGCGTGAGCAGCCAGCAGCCGCTGTGAGCAGCCGACCAGAAGCCGGCGACTGATCTGCCTCGCCCGGGAAGAACGCAATGATGGTGCCAACTTGGGCCGGTGAAGCAACATCCTCCACAACTAGACTGAAGAACAAAAGGACAGCAACTTGTCTGTTCACTTCCCCCAATTCCCCAATAAAAAAAAATCTTTAAAAAAAACCTAGAATTAACCCTTAATATTTCAAAAAAGCACCCACATAGCTGTTTAATGGGTATGGGGTTTTATTTTGAGGTATACTTTTGAAGTTAGATAGAGGTGGTAGTAGATTGCACATTGTGAATGTACTAAATGCCACTAAAATGCTTAATTTTATGTTATGTTAACTTCACCTCAATAACAAAAATGAAAACAAAGCTTTCCCAAAGCACCCAGTTCCTCCCTCTTTCTCAAGAACATGTTACCTTCTCCGTGTAACAGTGAAGGGTCTAAGAGCTCCATCATGTACTCGATTTCCGTGTCCAGTTCCAGCATGTCACACTGAGCTATGACATAGGTCAGGACTGGCAGAAAGTCGTCAGCGCCATACATCCTCCCTGGGATTAGGACGAAAGGCGAAGATGGGAATATTTTTAGCAGTGTTTCTTTCTTTCATATCCTCCTTGCTGCTTTTGTTAGATAGCGAGGAGTCATCCTGGGGAAATGTGTTATTTATAAACAGAGGTGGGTGTTTCTGGAATCTTGTATAGCCCATGACCCGCCCTGTTGCTCATGTCTCAGACCAGCCCTAACTCACAATTTCAGAATGAGCATCTAGGAATTAATGAACACAGGAAAGAATTTTGCCATTATTATGAGTTACATCATTATACAATAGAACACAGTACTTTTAAATAGTTTAACTTTTAGCAAGTAATATTATAAAATATTTATAAAGTATCTACTTATTATATTAACACTTTGTATTTTGTTTCATATTATTTTCTTTGAAAATTAATCACAAACATAATGATAGGACCAAACTCAAACCAGGAATAAACACTGTTCTCTATTCAACATGAGCCCACAGTTAATTTATTTAAATGTGCTAATTTAGCATGTGTTGAATAGATAACACATGATTAATATATGGCAAAAAAATTTTAGTCCTTATTGCTATTTTTTACTACAGTGGTGATTCTCAAGTGAGGGAGTATTTGGCATTATCTAGAGATATTTTTCATTGTCAGAACTGGAGGGTGGGGGTGCAAATGGCATCTGGGATGCTGATGAGCTTCCTAGAAGAAGCAGACAGCCCCCACAATAAAGAATTATCCAGTGAGGATGTCATTAGTGCTGAAGTGGAGAAGCTGTGCTACAGAAGAACGTAATCCTTGGCAGACATCTTTCGGCATCTTTTACAAATTATTTCCGGAACTATGAAAGTACGTTTTCTCTATGTATGTGAAATATTCTGGCAAATTTCAGAGATGTTCACATGCTATCATTACTAGGCCAAGAGCTCACATGTTAATGTCTTTCCTCAACAATTTGCAAATGCACACATATTTCTATCTACTCAAGTGGTGTTAATAGAGCCTCTGTTTTCTCTCTGTTACTTCTCCATGAAGCAGTTGCATTCAGAGGAGAAGGTGGTAGTCATCCACAGAATTATAACAGGCTCCCTCAAGACCTGGAAAAATGCAGAGCCCAAACACTACCCATGAGTCATGATTAGGTTATTATCTATAAGAAGCAGCACAAGGGAAATCTGAGAGCTTACTTCCCAACTTTGTAACTCTTTTATGAATTCCAATTACACTGCTTCAACTTCTAGCAAAGAAGGCAAAGCCAATGAAATGATTGTAATGAAACTGCATCATTATTGAATATTCCACATTTCTGATCATTGACACAAACCCTCATTGGCCAAAGTGTAGTAATGATTATCACTAATATTTCCACTGCACTTGGGGCTATGCATGCCTTGTTCCATCTAATACACTTCTTATGAAGGATAGGGGCATATCCAATAACAGGTGCAGACATCATATCTCAGAAGGTTGAGTAATGTGGCTAAAGTCCCAATTAATTTAACTCATTCGCAGAGCTAGGATTTGAACTCAAACTTCAGAGACTGAATTTGTATCCACTACTCTGAACTAAATCTTTAATAAATTGGCATTGTACAAAAATCTTGTTGCCCTCATCCGCTTACTTTTTTGGTATGGTTTATCTGTTGCATGTGACTAATTTGCCAGACACCAGAGTAACACTTGTATTTTTGTGAGCCACTTTGTGAAATCAAGTGATTGAATGGAAGAGAAATTGGGAATCAGAAAACCTGATGTGTCCCTGATCCAGTCACTGGCCACATCACGGGCCCTGGTGGGAAGTGGCCAAGGGCCTGGACTTTGGACAGCCTCACCTGAGTTGTTCTCCATGACAGTGTAAATAAGCTTGCAGACCCTCAACAGCAGCATGACTTTCTTTTCAGGTGAATACATCTTCTGCATAGTCATGAATTTGACTTTAATTTTCTCCACATCCACAAAATCAGGGGTTGGGGCGAAGACCCCCAGCTCCTGTGGATTCCTCTGCCGCACGAGCTGCAGGTTCTCCTTGAGTTGTTTCCATGAGCCATCAGCCACGTGGAAGTCTTTCAGCATGGCCTCCACGTGTCCCTTCAGGGGCTTCAAGATGCACTTGTGCATGGCTTTTTCCAACACCACATCTGCCAAAGAAAGTGCAGGTATTGTGACTATTGTCTGAAGAAAGAAGAAACGCATGTCTGCTTTCCCAGAATGGACCCCTGCAACTCTATGCATTGGGTATAGAGCAGACAAGTTATAACTTCACACCCACCTACCCAACAAAACTTAGCAGACTATCACCCACACTCCAACATTTTCTTCTGGAAAGCCAGGAAAATGGAATCTTTCCTAATGTATACTTAGTTTCTTTTGCATACAATCAATGCAATTAAATGTATTTATTTTAACTATTTTTACACCCCCTCCTCCCTAAGCATAGGTAAATATTCCAGAAGACATTCTTTTGACCTAGTCCCTCCGCTGATCATCGAGTTGACAGGTAAGCAAATGTTATTTTAAAGGAAGGATTTTCTAATAGTGAGGGTTCAAGATCCCTGAAAATGTTTTCTGAGGAAATAAATTAAACTAAATACACATGTTATCTTAGATCGGATTCTGGACCAAAAATTCTTTATTTCATTTTCCATAAAGGACATCAATAGGACATTAGATGCGATTTGAATAAAGTCTGCAGATTAGGTAATAATAGTGTTAACAATGAATCAGTGTTAATTTTACTATAGTTTTGTAACAGAATGTCCCTGTGTTTAGGAAATAAACATTGAATAGTTAGGGGTAAAGGGACACAACTAATTCTCAAATGGTTCAAAACAGAAGAGGGTGGGGCCGGCCGAGTAACTCAGTTAATTAAGAGTTAGCTTAAGAGCGCAAGCTCTGAGCAACAGGGCTGCCAGTTAGATTCCCACATGGTCCAGTGACACTGCACCTGAGCTGAGCTGCCAACAGGTGTCAGATTGGCTCAGCTGGTGAGAGCACCTGTTCCTAACAACAAGGCTGCCTGTTTGATGGTGGGCTATCCCTGTCCGCAACTAAGACTGAACTCTGCACCTTGAGCTGAGCTGCCACCCGGATGGCTCAGTGGATAGAGCGTGTGCTTTCAACAACAAGGTTGCTGGTTCGACTCCCGCATGGGATGGTGGCTACGTCCACCCGCAATTAAGATTGAACACAGCACCTTGAGCTTAGAGGCCATGAGCTGCCGACGGGCAGCCAGATGGCGACTGGCGTCCTCCAAAACTAAGATTGAAGAACAACAACTTGGCTGGTCCCCTTCTCCAATTCTCCAATTAAAAAAAACACGAAGAGTGTGTGTGTGTGTGTGTGTGTGTGTGTGTGTGTGTGTGTGTGTGTAAACAGAGAGAGGAAGGAGGAGAATGAAACAAATGTGGCAAAGTGCTAATATTCAGGGAATCTGGGTGTAGGGCAGATATGATTTCTTTGTACTATTTTGCACCTTTTCTGTAAGCCTGAAACAATTTCAAAATCAAAAGTAAAATTTTTTGAAGTGAGTTTCTGTTCACAGTTAGGAAACACTTTTAGCTGTGGGAGGCATTTTTTTCTCCTTCTTTCTTTGAATGGTTGCCCGATGGAGTAGCTTTCTGGGCTGACAGTAAAATGACCATGCCCATGGATCTGGAGAACCAGACCGAAGATGATTTATATAATAATAAACTCTCTGCTTTTTCAACATCAGCTTTCCAATCTCAAATATTTGCACATTCTCATCAAAGATACCTGGGTAGCAACTGCACCTAATATCTGACACTTGAATGTGATTTCATTTTGGAAGCCCATGGATCCTTTTACTTATAAGACTGGACATATTTATCTCTCTGGCCTTTGGAATGCCTGACACTGCATCAGATCACACTGAATCCAAATTATCACTTATTATGAGAACGTCAGGGACAAAGAGAAATCTAAGCCAGATGCACAAACACCAAAAACAATTTTCCCATAAGCCAAAGTTAAAATTGATGCCAGAAGTTAATGCTGATCCCATAATGGTCAGCTTTGCTAGTCCAAGGTTTTCTCTGTTCCTCCTCCTCCATATCTTATCCAGGAGATCTCTTTAACTATAGAGCTTTGTTTAACTATAGAAATTCAGGTTGAAGCAAAAGAGGTTATAAAGTAAGAAGAAAAACAGAACATTCTCACTTGACATCTGGCATTAAAACAAATTACTTGGTTTCCATTGGTTATGTGGTGTTAATAATCTTGTGCAACTTCATGGTATCTAGACTTCACCTTTTTTCATTGCAATGAATTGTCAATAATAGCAATTAACATAGAGCGGTCAAGTGGACTAGGCTCTAAGTACTTTATTTCATTACCTCATCTACTTCTTACAACATCTGTATTATTTTTGCACAATACTGATATTATGGCCATTTTATAGATGAGGAAACAGAGGCTTGGAGATGTCTAATGGCTTGCTTGAGGCTGCACAGCTATTTTAAACAACCCATCCTACTTCTTTTCAAAGTAAATGATCTCAAGTTCAAGGTGCTTTATAAATATTCACCAGTTTATTCCTCACTATCCAAAGGTTCTGAAAGCTACATTCATGATTATAAATGACCACTACTCTGTAAGAATGAGGTTACCAAGAGGAGTGAAAGTCATGTTAATCATTAACTAGGAATGTAAATGAATGTTCATAGCAGCATTATTCATAATAGCCCCAAACTGGAAACAACTCAAAGGCCCATCCCAATGGAATGAATACGAGGATATATTTGTACAATGGAATTCAGACAATGGAAGATTCATTCCATGAAAAGGAGCACACTGCTGTTCAGATGCAACTGGGTGAATCTCACAGATACTTTGCCACGTGGAAGAGGCCAGACTTATAAAAGAGGATCTCCTTTAGCATTTCACATATACAAAGTTCAAAAGCAGGCCAAACGAATCTATGAGGACAGAAGTCAGGATGGCAGTTACCCTTAGGAATAACTGGGGCTGTAGGGGGACACTCTAGGGGGCGGAGATGTTCTATATCTGGATCTGGGTGGTGCTACATGTGTGTGCACACATGTGAAAATTTGTCGACCTGAGCACTTAAGATTTGCATTGTCTATGGATGTAAGTTAAACCCCAATAACCATGTATAAATCAAACAAACAAAAAAACAACTGAAGACCAGCCTGGGATTTTCTCTTTAACCCCAAGGGCAACTTTTAAGTTGGGAGTGAACCTGGACATGTCTGGCCAGAGCATTAACACAGATTGTCTTTAGAAGGCCCTGTGCTGCTGCTGGGGGAAGGCTGGCAGGAGACTCATCCCAATGGCTGAGAAGGTCCCTCACCCCTCATTCTATAAACGCCACCCTGGGCATGAGTGGGGCTGTGGGAACCCGTTAGGAAGGTTGCAACCGAGGACCCATGGCTAAGAGCCCGTTCTCTTGAAACCCAGAATGAAAAATAAAATTGCCAGTGTTAAAATTTTTTTAGTACATATTTAAAGGCCATGATTTAGAAATAAGAAAGACTAGCCTCTTTGCATTGTTTTTCAGGACTTTACTCCTAACCTCCCTCTTCAAATCGTTAATAAACACAGGGAATATTAAAAAGAAGTAAAAAAAGTCCAAGGAACCTGGTACCTAGCTGGTTTTCTTCAACAGGAAAAGGGGAAGGTGATCTGAGGAAACGAAAGGAACAGAAAATCAGAATGCGGACGAGCTCAGAAAAAAGAAAAAAAGAACAGCTTGGTCACATTTCTTATAAATTACTGTCTGTTGTTTTAAACCCAAGAAAACAAAACAGTTTAAACTGTTAGAACAATGACATGATTCTAGGCACTTTACATGCAATGACTCTTCAAATCCTCAAACAAATCCCATGGGGGTTCACTTTATAGATAAGGAAACTGAAACCCAAAGAGATAGGTGCCACACAGCTATCACGAGGGGGAGCCAGAATCTGATCGCGAGAAACCTGGTTATGTTAATTGTATTTATCCACAAACAAACAAGAGAATTGTTTGAGCTACAATATTGTGAATTTTAGAAATCAAAAGTTAGCTGAATGACCAAAACTGGAAACAAATTTTCTGAAAATACTTTTAGAGATCCTATCAACTGTCCCCAAAGCTCATACATTAAGGAAGATGTTCAAGCCCCTGGCAGCTGCTTGGATGCTCCTCGCCTTATGGGACCTGATGTAGGTGTCTGTAAGGAGCATTCGATGTATTTCCCTCCCATACTGTGAGTGAGCATTCCCCTACTAGAAATGGAAGATGGAAGCCTTGTCCTTGTTGCTTCAGTCTGACTGACAGCATAGGTTCCAGAGAAGGCCAGAGATCAGGCAGGGAACCATCACAAGACTGGGACATGTTTACCTAATGCTACCTAGGGGAAAGTGAGAACTCGAGAGGTGAAGGTGAAGTCCAGAGAAGGAGTCTGTCTTAAAAACAACACTAGGAGCATGAGACCTGGCAGCTCGACTGGCTCTATCTTTCTAAGTGACTTTGGCTAAGTCACTTCAACTCTTTCACTGTCATTGCCTTGAACTTCTGAACTGCCATTGGAATCATTGCCCATGGAAGGCAAGACAGAATTAGCAAAACAAAATGAAATAATTGTAAATATTCTCCAGGGTATTATAACAGAACCCAGAGTCTAAACAACATAATATTCAAAAGGTACAGGTTGCAACCTAAAATTATTTGACTATGATGGAATGTTAGGTTATGTTATATGGCCTCTTGGTTTATTAGAGTTCTAGCATTCTGATAATTAGAAAACAAAAGTATAATAGAAAAAGAAGCTCATGTTTGATGACCTTCTTGAAGAGATGGGCCTGTTTTTGTTTTTGTTAGTGTTATAAAATTTATTCATGTAAGCATTCAGACATTTTTAGGTGGGAAAGATGATACGCAGATTTCACTACAAGGTGCAACAGAAAATCATACTGGAAAGACCGGTACAGCTGGAGCGGGGTTGGCAGTGTCACAATTCCAAACGAATGTTAGACGAGAGCACTTCATCGAGGAGAAACTTAAAATAATAATTTAAAGCTTCATGAGGCAAGATATGTTCCAATTTAAAACACTAAGAAATAGTACCATCAATGAAAAAGGAACTCAACTTCTAAGTGTACCAAAAGGGTTGTGGGGC